TATTATTTTTGTTCTTTCATTCTTATTGTGTCACCATACACAAAAGAAATTTGAAAAAGAAGTCTTTATTTTATTCGTAAATAATTTTGTCATATGATGTACCTAAAATGTAATTTTTGAGATGTGACAAGTCAAAGAAAAAAATGTTACTTTTTATTTAAAATAACAGTTTTTTATGGAACTAAATTGAGCAAACTAGATTTTTTTTATTCTGTTGCATATTTCATATTTTTGTCTTTGAATTGCATTGAACATACAATATGTTTTGCTCAGGGGCGGACTGACAACTCATGGGGCCCCCGGGCAATAGGGGATCATGGGGCCCCTGTGTCCTTGCCCAAACTCAAAAAAGCCTATGAAAAAGGTACCAGGGGCATCTCATGGGGCCCTCTACTGACCACGGGCCCTCGGGCAGTGCCCGCGTTTCCAAATGGTCAGTCCGCCTCTGATTTTGCTATACTGTATTTTTAAAAGAAAGCCTTGCCTGGCCAGAGAAAATGAAAATTATTATGTTCAGGAATAAAAAGAGAACATCTCCAGCTGCAGAGACACACTCTTGGTATAATGGCTGGTGGGGGGGGGGGAGGCAACAATGGGCTGTGGGGATATGCAGGTACCTGGGTTGTAAAGATTCTAATGGAACTTCCTCTGTATGAGAGAGAAGTCTGGATGATACTACATATTTACAATGCTGTATTAATGAAAGTTTCTCTGGCACAGACTCCTGAAACATCATGATGGCTGGGGTATTGGGGGTGTAGGAGCACCCCTCCCTACACACAGCACAATATAATCAATCCCTAAGTGACCTTCTCTCCATACTCTGGAAGGGAGGGGGTTGCATGGATGTCTAACTTGGGAGTAGTGGAAGGCAACCATGGCACCCAAATATGAGAACCAAGCAGCAGCACACAAATGATGCATAGATGGATTTTGAGGACACAAAATCCCACCAAAACAAACAAATGAGCATATAAAACAAAAAATGTTGTTTTTCTTATTTGGGTGCTATGATTCCCTTCCACTACTCCTGGGTCAGACACCCTGTAACGGATACTAGTATGTATAGTATTGTACTCCCCTTATTTTTAGGGGGTATTTGTATATACTTTGTGAATTTGTTATTTAGCTTACAGACCTTGTGTTAGTGGCATCCACTGAAGTAGTGAAGCAACATTTATTTATTTCAGGTACTTATATAGCGCCATCAATTTACACAGCGCTTTACATATATATTGTACATTCACATCAGTCCCTAACCCTCAAGGGGTGTACAATCTAAGGTCCCTAACTCACATTCATACATACACATACTAGGGACAATTTATGCAGAATCCAAACATTCACAAAACATGTCGAGTTATAGGATGCAATTTTTCTATATTTTAGAAGTCTGTCTGTGTGGAACATGTACCGTATTTTTCGCTCCATAAGACGCACTTTTTTCCCCCCAAAAAAGGGGGGAAAATGTCAGTGCGTCTTATGGAGTGAATATTAAGCGGCCGGTCCGGTATTTCTGCCGCCACCATGTCAGAATACCGGGCCGGCCGCTCAGCTGTTCTCTCTTGCAGGGCCTTACCTGTTCCTCGCTCCAGCGCTGCACAGTCTTCCCGCGCTGGCTTCTGTGACAGCCGGGTGCCCACTGCGCATGCGCTGCGCTTTGTGAATTGTCCGGTGTCTTGTCAGGTCCCGAAGGCGCCGGGCCATTCACAAAGTCCCGGCTGTCACAGAAGCCAGCGCGGGAAGAAGAGGGAAGGACAACTCCGCGGAAGTGGGAGCGGGTACCTGTCAAATTCAGGTACCCGCTCCCCCTCCCTCCCCAAAGGTCAGCAGTCTCTGGTCATTCCCTGCACTGTCTGCAGTCTCTGGTCATCTGTACTGTGTCCCTGGTATTTTCCCTGTACTATGTCCGCAGTCTCTGGTCATCTCCTGTACTATGTCCGCAGTCTCTGACTGTCTCCTCTAGTTTGTCTGCAGTCTCTGACCATCCCTGTACTGTGTCCGCAGTCTCTGGTCATCCCCTGTACTATGTCCTCAGTCTCTGGTCATCCCCTGTACTGTGTCTGCAGTCTCTGGTCCATCTCCTGTCCGCATCTCCTGGTCCATCTCCTGTACTGTGTCCGCAGTCTCTGGTCATCTCCTGTACTGTGTCCGCAGTCTCTGGTCATCTCCTGTACTGTGTCCGCAGTCTCTGGTCATCTACTGTCCGCAGTCTCTGGTCATCCCCTGTACTGTGTCCGCAGTCTCTGGTCATCTCCTGTACTGTGTCTGTAGTCTCTGGTCATCCCCCTGTACTGTGTCCGCAGTCTCTGGTCATCTCCTGTACTGTCCGCATCTCTGGTCTGTACTGTGTCCGCAGTCTCTGGTCATCTCCCTGTACTATCCCCTGTACTATGTCTGCAGTCCATTGGTTCAGAATATTTTTTTTTCTTGTTTTTTCGCCTCTAAAACCTTATGGAGCGAAAAATACGGTATATAGAATTACCCATTGAAATGATGCATAATTTATGCTGATGTATGGTAGTTGTAACAAATCAGCCTGTTATATTAACTAACTCATCTTCGTATATATAAGATTTTCATCCATTGTTTAAGAAATTGATATTTTATCATCAATATGTTGAGCCTCATTTAAAGTCCCCTGAGAAAATGTTTTGTTTTGTATATGAGCTGCCGAGTTATTACGGGGGGGAACGGATGCTGAACTGCTGCGTTACTGTTGGGTGAGGGGAGCAGGAATGATGAGTTACCCAAAGGATGAGGAAGCAAGGGTAGTTAGGCTGCCAAGTTACTTCTACAAGGGGGAAGCAGAGACTGCTGATAGTACAGCTGCTGACCTACCACTAGTACAGCTTTAGCTATCTCAGTGCTTCTGCAGTGATATTTGAGAATGAATTTTTCCATAATGCTTGCAGTCACAAAGGCCATTAAGGGCTTGATTTTACTGCATGTGCACAATTGTGTAAGTACTATGCCCAAAGCCTGGCCACAGATTCACCTTTTACTAAGTTCACTGTTTGTCCTCCTTCCAACAGAGCATAATTTGCACTGTGAATGAAATTGTTCCGATGAGTCTGCAGTGGACATGCATGATTCAACTGTTTAAAGAATGACTGCGCACATTCCTATCCAAACAATGAGCAGTTTACAGAAATGAGGTCCACTACTGGAGGAGAACAGCCTACTGCCTCACGTTGATGGCACACAGAAGTTCCCAAGAAAAAATAAAAGGGGAAGCATGAGCTGTTAACAAATGAGGATAGCAGAGGTGACATTTATATTGGAACATAAACTGATGTCTGTTTTGTATATATCCAAGATTCTTCACATCCATGCGTGTATGTGGTCCAGACCCAGCAGGAGCACCAGGAAACAAGGAATCATTATTTAATGTGGGATACAGACACTTGGACTCCCTCCAGGGCTCCTATCACAGCTGGACTCTAGACTTTGCACAGAGCTTGTTCTGGGCATTTCTTTGTCACAAAATCTTAAAAGGGCAGTTCTAGGCAACTCATAAAACTGGTTAGTCAACTGCTAAGCTATGGTAAACTCAAAAGGTGCTCTTCATATGTTCCCATCCTGAGTTTTATATAACTCAGTGGCAGCTTTGAGGCAGGGTTATGTCAATGCATGAGTGCCAGTAAGAACATGCCCAGCACTGATCCAGCATCACCCACAAAGGGAATTATTCTGAAGAGACAATCCCACCCATAACCCCATCTTTCTGTGGGGGTGTTGTGTGACAATATTATGTTGGTTTCTGTTTGGCTATGGGCATGACCAATCACAAGCCAACATTGCGCAATAAAACTGTTCTTGGAGTAAGGATTCTCAAGTAAACTCCAACACCAGAGATTGTTCATCTGGGGAATATGCATTTGCCTCCTGGGCAGTGTTGCCAATAAAAAACTAGCACTTTTCTCCTGCCAGTAAATGCCAGTGACAGGAAAAAGGTTGCCAGTTAAAATATGGCTGTCATGCTCTGCTCGGAATGGCACATGCACAGCTTCTAGTCCGGAGCCGGCCGAGACCATCCGAGTGCCTTCTACAGTGTGTTCCGGCGGTGCTGGCAGGCGGCGGGTCTGGCATAGGCGGCACTTGAGCTTGTCATGTGATGTCATGGTGCAAGGGAGCTTAGCTAAGCGACTGGAGGCTTGTGTGTGGGTCTGCGGGACGGGAGAAAGGCAAGCCAGGAGCAGGACTGTCACTCATGTTTGGACTGGAATGGACTGAAAGGACCACCTGGCATGGAGAGACACTGTCACTGTGACTCAGGAGGGGACGTATCATGTCGGTGAGGTGTCATCATCATCTGTGCTGTTGCACACTGGTGTCAGTGTCATGGTGAGAGTTTCATGTGTGTGTGCTTGCACATCCTAATTTCTTGCCCTACTGAGCCCTGTCCCTGAGCTACTTACTTACTATATCGAAAATAAAATAGGAAATCGGGTTTTTGTCTTAATAGCTACCTTAAATCACATTGCTAATTTCATATCTTTAACCGCTTTAACCCCTCGCCTACAGGGCACTTATACCCCCTTCCTGGCCAGGCCAATTTCCAGCTTTCAGCACTGTCACACTTTGAATAACAATTGCGCGGTCATGCAACACTGTACCCATATGACATTTTTATCATTTTTTTTGTGACAGATAGAGCTTTATTTTGGTGGTATTTAACCACCTCTGGGATTTTTATTTTTTCTTAAACCAAAAACCACTGAAAATTTTGAAAAAAAAAAGTTTTTTTCTTAGTTTATGTTATAAAATTTTGTAAATAAGTGATTTTTCTCCTTCACTGATGTGCGCTAATGAGGCTGCAGTGATGGGCACTGATAGGCTGCACTGATGGACACTGATAGGTGGCACTGATGGACACTGATGAGGAGGCACTGGTAGGTGGCATTGATGGGCATTGACAGGCATCACTGATGGGCACTGAAAGACAGCACTGATACATGGCACTGATAGGCGACACTGACTGGCACTGTTGGGTGGCACTGACTGGCACTGATAGGCGGCACTGACTGGCACTGATAGGTGGCATTGATTGGCTTTGATAGGTGGCACTGACTGGCACTGATGGGTGACACTGAAAGGCAGCTCAGATGGGCACTGATATGTGGCATTGATGTGCACTGGTAGGCACTGATATGTGGCATTGATGTGGCACTGATGGGCACTGACATGAGGCACTGATGAGCACTGACACAAGGCACTGATGGACACTGACAGGTGGCACTGCTGGGGCTACACTGATCATCAGGGCACACTGATCATCAGTGCCCTGATGATCAGTGTAGATGCCCCCTCCGCAGAAAGCCGATTACCAGCTCTCTTCTCCTCTCGAGCTGTCAGCGTGACAGCTCGAAAGGAGAGAAATGCAGATAACCGGCATTTCCCTTTTACATGTGATCACCAATGATTGGACACAGCTGATCACATGACCGAGCCGACATCTTCGGCTCTTTCCGTAATCGGTGATCTGCTGTGTCCGAGGGGACACAGAGCACCGCCGATTGCGGCGCTGCGCGCCCCCTGAGCCTCACATGCGCGGTGAGAATGGGAGGATGTCGTATGACGTCCTCCCAGAACGAGAGAACCACCTTGCGTCCATCATATTACTATACGGCGGGCGGGAGGTGGTTAAACTGTAATTTTTTTTTACTTTTTAAAATGCCAGTAAAAACTTGGCTGTGCCAGTAAACTTTGGGTGTCATGTCAGTGAATTTCAATCTGCTAGGTTGGTAACAGTGCTCCTAGGGTATCAGGAAGGAGATCTGGAGCAAGGTGCCTACCTCTGGATCAACTGTGGGTACAGGATTGTGTATTGAGGTTTTCTATTTGTTTATTATTTCTATTGGTTGGACTTGATGGACATGTGTCGTTTTTCAACCTATGTATGAAACTATGTATTGTAACTATAGAGTCGCTGTCTTTGCACTGGAAGTCAAGTCAGCACTGAGGGAAAGTCACTGATATAATACATTAAAACCAGATTTGTTGTCATTAAATTATGTCTTTTACTTTTGCTAAAGGAGTGGAACCTTTCTGTAGGCGATACCCTTAGATCAGAACAGTATGTTTATTAGCATAGGGGATGTCCTGGTCAATATAAGAAATTGTGGGTGCTGTGGCTTGATGCTCCTGGACTTAGTCCATTAGAGTTAGTGCATTGTCTTGCATGTTAGATACTATTTGTGGAATGACTTGTACTGCTGTACTTTTGTTTCAACTTTTCTCTGCTTATATACAATGATACTTGCGTGTGATTTTCTTGGAACTGTAATCTGGCTAAGTAGTCTTGTTTCCCCTGGACTGCTGTTCTAATGCTCATATTCAATAAAATCTTCTTTGACCTAAAAAAAAAAAAAAAAATGTATTTTGTGATTATTCCCTTTGACATGTACAGAGAAAAGAGATTGCAATCTGGAAACTCTTAGCCTTCATTTCAGTGAGAACACCTGGAGCTATGGGGATATAAAATGTACCAGTGTGAATGAAGATATGGAAGCTGCCACTGCTGAATGTTTCTAAAGGTTCAGGGTCCTGTGCTGTAAGTCTGATCACTGCTGCACTATCTAGTGAGCCATTGACCAAGAGCTGGTATGCCAAATTCTTTTTAAATATCACTGGCTACATGCTTAAATTCAAGGGTTCCAATTTTTATCAGATGTGGTGTACATATCATGACCAAATCAGTAGTACTGAGCAGTGATGCACTGATCCTGACTGTACAGATCATGGAATCAATGGAAACATTTGCAATATAACTGACATATTCACACAAATACTGTCATTGTATGGAAACACAATCTCTTTAGCCCACGTTCGCACTGATGAAACTTGTCAAGTGATTTGAACTCAATGATTGGCAATGGAACTGTTCTAATCGGTGCAACTCTGATGTCCGTTTCCGATAACAAAAGCAGTTACCGCACTAATTTTCCCGATTTGAGGTTTGACTTGCATAGACATCTGTGCATGAAGTTGGACCCCAAGTCGCACTGCCATCCTACTTTGAAGTTGCATGATTTCAAAGTCAGATCCAGTGTGAACCAGGGCTAAATCATCTGCCCTTGCTCAAGATGGCCATGGCTAGAAATGCTAGAGGGTTGTTTTTCAAAGTGATTTCTGAGCAAAATAAAGCCTGGAGACATGGATGGGTGAGTTTGCTTTGAATATTAAAAATTAATTAAACAGCATTTTTGCTTTGTGGTGCTCAGATGCCGGGTAGTTCCACTTTAAGGTCGTCCTCTTCATTTATCCCTTCTGAGCAATATACAATGCACATGGCTCTTCTGCAGTGGCTCCATGTTATGTAATGTACCTTTGGAAAAGCTGCAGAGATAGACTATTTCTGTCATCAACAGCAGCTTGGGAAGCCAAATCATATCATGGTTATCAGCGGACAGCAGGCTACGATGACAGCGGTGCTGTGGAGGGCACTGGATTGGTAGTTGGCAACTCAAACAAGGTCTTTTGAGGTCAGCTTACCACATGGTAAATCAGCTCGTGGGGATAGCACAGTTCTACAGTGAGAAGGAAATTGAAACGGCTTCTATAAGACCTGTACTGTATATAAATTTTGTGCATAAGGGTAATAAAAGAAATGAAATGCAGATTTTCTTCCATTAGGTACCTGAATATTGTCCTGATGTTTCCTGATATTTAGCGTAGCACATGCATAGGGCAGAAACCCTTATACTGTATTGCCAATGTTGCATTCAGCTCAGCAAATGTGCAGTATTGCCCAGGGCAGAAGAAACTGTCTTTTAGACATTAAGGAGGTAAATACTTTAATATAAAGGACAACTTTACCTTTTGGTGAAATTGTCTTTAATAAATCACCTGATCACCATAAGTGCAGTCTGCCTGGGAACATACTTTCCTTCCTGCCTGATATCTAAGTCTTTCCTTGAACATAGCCTAGGCCAGATCCTTTTATTCTATGTATGCATGCAGTATTTCCTATAAATAAACTACTTATGGCAGCCTCCAGTGGACCTTTGCAATACAGCTTAACCTAGGAATGGATGGGGCCAGAGCATGCAAGCTCAGTATAGAGGGAAGCTAACCAGAACCTTTTATGGTGGACAGATCAATGGATCGTGAAGGATGATAAGTATTAGACAAGGTGGGCTACACTCAATAGGTGGGCGACTCATTAAAGCAGGGGTCTCCAAACTTTTGAAACAAAGGGCCAGTGTACTGCCCTTTAAATATTAGGGGGGCCGGACTGTGTCCAGAGGAAGTAGAAAATGCCCTGGCATTGGTGGTGAGCAAACAATGCCATAGGCTTGGTGGCCAGTGGGAGTAAAAAAAAAATGAAATTATTGGTGTCAGAGGGAGAATTAGTACACTGTCTATGGTGTCAGTGGGAGGAATAGTACCCTATTAATGGTGTCAGTGGGAGGAATAGTGCCCAGTCTTTGGTGTCAAATAATTTTGGAAGAAATAATACTTCATATTAGTGGAGGGAATAGTTCCCCAGGGCTGGATAAAGGCAAGCAAAGGGCCACATCTGGCCCTAGGGCCGCAGTTTGGAGACCCTTGCATTAAAGGGTAACTTTACCAAAGGTTACTTTGTCCTGTAAAGTTTGACAGCTCAGGACTGGGGTGGGGGTTGTAATTCTGATCTTTAAGTTTAAAATACACCTAAACATTGATACAGTATTATGAAACAAGAGATGAAGAGGACAAAGAGGGTCCCAGAAAAAGACAGACGTTTTGCTACCTTCAGATCTGCATCTGCTGACATGTCCATGCTTGCCAGTCCCCAACATTTCCCTCCTGCTGACATCACCACTACAGACTCTTCTGGTTCCTGAGAAAACTCTGCTGCTGAACAGCCAATAGGAAGTGTCCACATCACTCTGCCTCCTGTAAACAAAAAAAGACTCGGCATTAGGGTGTCATGTGACTGCAGCTTTAGGGTTTTTTTTTTTTTTTTAACGCCAGTGATAAAGGGGTGGAGTCTATTGGGAGACCCCAGAGATCAGCTTTAAACATATGTGGATCCTGAAAAGGTGCTTCCAGTGGAGGAATTTGAGATCACTTCATCAACAACCATAGTATTGTTGGATTTCCCTCACTTTTTGTTATGATTAATTATCGAATTAGAGAATGACTAACTCTACAGAACCACAAACCAAAGAAGTATGTTCCAATAAACATTTAGTGTATCTGTCTAAGCAACTGCCAGCATAGCGAATATGATAAATTTGAACTTTCTGCAAGATGTACACAGTGTCCAAAGCTAATCACTTCTGTAATGCAAGCTGAACATAATAAATTGAGATCACTGTTCCATCTACATTAGTAGTCTACATGACTGTGATAAGGACTTTGAGCTTGTAAGTGATTTAGAATTAGCTAGTTAGTGATACCTCGTATAGAAAGGCTGAGGTTAGCTTAGTTCCCAGACTTTGTTTTGCTTCGATCTTTGGGTCCAACACACTGCTCCTGTGGATATAAAAAGAGACAGTGGTCTGGAGCCAGAGAGAGAAAGAGCCATTGTGAATGGAAATGGCCCTGGAGAAAGGAGAAGATTCCCCAAGGTTCCCCTGAAGGAGTTTGAAAGCACAGCACCTGAAGGATGTGAAAGCTATCCAACCTGGGGTTCTCCACAAACACAACAACTACTAGGGAATGCTACTAATGGACCTTTATTCGCATGGACTCCACCATTGCAAATACGTCTGGTCAGCACATAGCTGGATTAGGGATTAGGAATTTAGGAAAAAGGACTGTTCTTTTGCTAGACTTTGTATCATTTTGCACTTTATTCAGTAAAGCATTAAAACGTTGCCTTCTGCCTAGTCTGAAGTAATATAAAAGAGTGTAATGCAAGTAACCAGCACATTTCTACAGTTTTGGGTCACTAACATATTGTGGTATGAAAAGTCTGCACCTTAAGAGTCATCATAGTGCAAGTTCAACATTTGGTTGTCATGAGCAATGGAGGTGCAGTCAGCAAGCAGGTCCACCAGGGGTGGACTGACCATTTGGAAACTCGGGCACTGTCCGAGGGCCTGGGGTCAGTAGGGGGCCCCATGAGATGCCCCTGGTACCTTTTTCATAGGCTTTTTTGACTTTGGGCAAGGACACAGGTGCCCCATGATCCCATATTGCCCGGGGGCCCCATGAGTTGTCAGTCCGCCCCTAGTCGGAACATGTGCCTTTTGCAGGTGGAATAGCCTCTAGCCATGAGGGAGATGTTGCCAGCACTTCCTAATCCGCATTCCGTTTTCCTTAGCAACCGGAGTGGAACTGCATTGCAGAGATCCCCTGTAGAGAGGTACGGAAGCTCAAGAGTTAAAGTCAAGTTCACAATGGAGCCAGTGCTATGTGCATGGCAGGGTTCCATGCTGCTACCAGGACTGGTAGTAGAAAATGCTGGACAGGTGTCTGTGGTCTGTGTTCAGCACGGACCGCCTAATTGCAAGCTACAGTGGGAAGATGGACATTTACACGGGGACCCAAGAGTAACTGGAGAACAGTTG